CCCAGTCTCTCTCTTTCCTTCCTTTTTTTTTTTTCCCCCCCTTTTCTTTTTAATTTTATTTTGCAAAGGCAACGTTCTGCCTTGGAATAATTATCAGTTGCAGACAGCGCTATAAATCCACTCATTTTCTGTTCTGGAAAGCATTTGCAAAGAACTATGGGGAGCAAGAGTGGAAATAAAAGGCAGAAAGAAAGATGGCTGTAATTGTAATATCCTGAGATTTGCTGAGCCCCCAAGTCTGGCTATTGGGCAGGTCTCAGCCTCGCCGCCGGCTCTCTGCAGGAACCGTAAAATCTGATCAAGTTCAGAGACGCATTGAGAGCCCGCTTCAAGCAGCGCTTTATAACCGCGGCCCTTTCACATCGTTCCCCCCAATCAGCCCCGGGAAAGACTTCGCATTCTTTATTTTAGGGTTCGCAGGGAGGGGGAAGGGGAAAAAAAAAAAGGAAAAGGAAAAAAAAAAAACCCACCCTTAACCCCAAGATCACTTATCATTCAGGCTGCATCACGCATCTTGAAAGTGCAGACACAAAAATGTAATGTCATAACATTCGCAGTTCAATAACCTTTGCTTCACGAGACGGCTTGAACTGTCAGAGGAGCTGGAAGGTAAATATTTCAGCGCACAGGCACTGAATGCAAAGGCGTGGGGAGGGGGGTCGGCCTCGGCTTCCCTAGCTCGCCTCGACACGTTCAAATATCCCCCGCCATAAATCCCGGCCAGCACTGGGGAAAGGCCGTGACGCGGATAAAATACGAGCAGATATAAAGCCAGACACCTTTATTGTTCAGCAAAGTCTTCCAACAAGTTATGAACCCGCAGCTTGACCCTAACCCATCATCTTGTTATACGGCGGAAACAAAGCCGGTGCCGGGAGCCGGGGCTGGACCGGGGCAGGATGCGGGGGGGAAGGAGCAAAACCCATCCTGCCTCCTCCACGGGGGATATTTGGGTGCAATTCGCCCCCAGCCCTCCCTGCACCCCACATCTACCCAGCTCCAGCCTGCAAGTGGCTGGGGACAGGCGCGCCAGCTGTCCTTTGGGAGCAGACCCCATGTTAGCCCCTTCCAATGAGCCTCCCTGCCAGGTTACAGCGGTGCAAAATCCCCGCAAGCCAGGGTTAACAGGAGCAGGACCCCGCAAACACAGTGCCTCGCTGCAAGGTTAATGGGGATGGCGGTGCCGCCGTGCTGTGCCGGGCGGGAGGAAGGAGTTTGCATAGCCGGGGCCTCGGCGGGAGCGGGCAGGGAGCAATGGCTGTGGGAGGGGGGGTGGCAAACGAGCTGGGGATCCAGAAGGTATCGGGGCGAGCAGAGATAACCCCCGACAGGGAAAAATCCCCCCAGCAGCGCTGGGAAGCCCGAGAAGGTGCTGGCACCAGGGCTGTGTGTCCAAGGGGGTTGCACGGTGCAGCATGGCACGGCGGGCAGTGCCCTGTGCATCCAAGGGGGTTGCGTGGCACGGCACAGCGGGCAGCAGCAGTGCCCTGTGTGTCCAAGGGGGCTGCATGGCACGGCACAGCACGGCACGGCGGGCAGCAGCAGTGCCAAGCAGCTTGCTTTGGACGCGGACTCGCCGTTTGGAGGAGGGTTTGGTGGCTTTGCAAAGCCCTGCCGTGCCGCAGTGTACTCGCGGATCGGGCTACATCAATTAACCTGTACGTCTTTTTTATACGTTTCCCATTTCCACTCTGCCAACTTTGCCCGGTGCGGGCGCCCGGCAGCATCCGCAGGGGCCAACAGGCGCTAGTCCCACCCGAGCGCTTCCTGGCTGGGATTCGCCGGCTCGGGGACCAAAACCGGCATAAAACGCGTTCATTTTTTTAAGGGCATTGTCGGTATGGCCTATGAATTCCTCCCCCCCCCCCGCGTGCTTTCGTAATTAAAAAAATGTATAATATATTTTGTACGTATTTTACCACTTCAGTGAATTCCATTTTTATTCAGCGGTATATCTGGCCGATCCCAATTTATTTTCCAGAGGCGGGGGGACATCGCATCTCTCTCCTTTTATTTAAATCTATCTCAGTTGCAAACGCGCAAACAACAGCAACCGGAAAAGTAGTCTCGCAGGCTCCCCTTCTCCCGTCGTGCTCCCAACGCGAGGGGAAGGCGGAGAAAGACCCCCTGCTTTACGTCAAGAACAGATATTCGTGTAATTCTCCTCCACCGCCTATTTTTTTTTCTTTTTTTTCTT